GAGAAAGAAAAAGATCACCTAATGTGTGTAAAATACCCTAAATTAGCCTTAACAGCAGCCTTTTTATAATCATTTCCTCTTTGTGGAGAAGTAGATTTATAAAGCATCAGTAATATACCTGAAATCATATTATTACAAAGATTAAATCCCAAGTAAACCCAAGTTCAATATGGTTCTAAAGCCTGTGCTATTTGCAATTAATATGCTATCTTATGCCTGTTGAGGAGGCATCATTCCAGCAAGATGGCAGACTAGATAAGATAAAAAAACCTATCTGCTATAAATTCCTAGGAATGTTAGACAAAATAAAATCAGAATTCTTTAACAGGCCCAGCTAATCTCACAAGAAATAAAAGGAAAGGCCCAGATATCAGAGCCAAAGAAGACACTGAAAAACAGAGCTGATATTCTGGCTATCCTGAAGAGGGATGAGGCAGGAGAGGAGTTTCAATTACTTAGATCCTGGGAATTTAAGCTCTGTGAAGGGAGAGGAGATAAGATTTTGGGCTGAGCATGGCAGAGAGTTGGAACTGTCAAAGAATGAACCTAAAAAAAGGCTGCCCTATAAGACAGAGACAGATGAATGGGTCCTGGATGCAAAGAGCAGTCTTGCTGAAGAAATTAAAGCCCTGGGCCTATGCCTCACACAGGTCTGGGTCTAAATTTTCAGTACAAAGCATAGTCTAGAAACTACCAATCCAAAAACTAAAAACTGGTACAGGGCTGGCAATATTCCTGGTGTTAGGGTTGCCAGATTTAGCAAATAAAAATACAGGGTACAAATAATTTGCAATAATAAATCTGTCACAAATATTGCATAGAGCATACTTACACTAAAAAATTATTTGTTGTTTATGCGAAATTCAAGTTTAACTAGGTATCCTGTATTTTATCTGGCAACCCTACCAGATGCAAATGCAAAACCACTAAGAAAGGACAATATCATAAGCATTTCACAAGAAGGAAAAATGACTCACTAAAGAAAGACTCACATTCAAAATTGTCAGACACAAAGAGGCAAACCATCGTGAATGAGAGTCAATAGAAACAACAAACAAGATAGAGGTTCTGTTTGTTTGTTTCTGACTAGTCTTTTAACAATTATGTATTAAACATTGTCCTGGGTTCTGGGGATATGCAGGGAATTAAACAGACAATTCTTTTCTCTCAGAGGATATGGTCTAGTGGGAGAAATAGGTCATAAGCAAAAAAACAAATTAAAATGTGTGCTATATTAGACAGTGATAAGTGATGAGAAAAATAAAGGAGGAAAGGAGATAGAAAATATGTTAAGGGAGAATGCCGAAGTTTTTAGACAGAAGAGGGAAGGCCTTGTGGAGGTGACACTTGAATGCAGACTTGAAGGAGGCAAAAGAACGAGCCACATGAATATCCAGGAGGAAGGTTTTCTAAGAAGAGAGAATAGCGCACAGAGGTTTCCAGATGGATGTGTTTCTGGCATGTTCAAGTGCCTGGAGTCTGTGTGCCTGGAATGGACAGGTAGGGAGTAGTAGGAAGTGAGAAGGTCAGGGAGGGGAAGGCCTTGTGGTAGGTGCAGATCATAGACTTGCCTTGCTCAGCACAGTAGCCCCTAGCTACATATGACTACTGATGTTGAAGCAAACTCAAAATTAGGCCAGCGCAGTGGCTCATACCTATAATTCCAGAGTTTTGGAAGGCTAAGGTAAAAGAATTGCTTGGGTCAGGAGTTGAACACGGGCCTATGTGACATAATTAATACCGTGTATGTATCTCTCTCTCTCTTGCTATATATATATATATTTATTTAAAAATTAGCCAGTGGCTTAAGTCTAGTCCCAGCTATTCAAGGTTGAGGCAGATCACTTGAGCCCAGGAGTTTGAAGCTACAGTGAGTTATGCATTCCAGCCTGGAAAACATAGTGAGAGCCTGTCTCTAAAAAATAAAACATTTAAACATTTTAAAAAACAAATAAAATTTGTTTGACTTATTACTCAGTCACCCCAACCACATTTCAGGTGCTCAATAGCCACACAAGTGGCTAGTGGCTACCCTATTGGGCAGTTCAGAGAATATTTTGATTGTTGTAAAAGTTTTGCTGGACAGTGTTGACAAAGACATAAATTATTGTTTAGAGTTTGGATTTTCCTCAAAATGAAGATAACAGAACAATAAGAAAGAGAATATAAAATTAGTGTATTTCAAATGATTAAAAAAAGGACTCAAGCCGGGCTCGGTAGCTCAGCCTGTAATCCCGCGCCTTTGGGAGGCTGGGGTGAGTGGATTGCCTGAGCCTGCGGGTTCG